TCTTTCCCTTTGTCTCTAAGTTCAGCTTCTATTGCTTGTTTACTTAAGAAACAGAAATCAAACTATTTGATTCGTTACCACTCTAGACCGGTGCTCTAAAAAGCACTCTACGTTCATCTTTGTCTATTTCAAAACTTTACGGTGGATGATGAAGGGGCTTGATGTGCATACACCGGATGAAGATTGTTCACCGCGACCTAAAGAGTGCCAACTGCCTTGTGGACAAACATTGGACTGTCAAGATCTGTGATTTTGGGCTGTCAAGGATAATGACAGAGGATAGCGTGAAGGATTCCTCATCTGCTGGAACACCAGAGTGGATGGCTCCTGAACTTATTCGTAACGAACCATTTACAGAGAAATGTGACATCTTTAGCCTGGGGGTCATAATGTGGGAGCTTTCTACATTAAGTAAACCATGGGAAGGAGTTCCCCCAGAGAAGGTACGCCAGACTGTGACGTCTCTTATGTATGTATGTTTCATTTACTCTCCTTTCTAGGGGCTGAAATGCTTAATTTTGTCAGAATTTGTTTCGTGGATTTTTTGTTTTGTTTTTGGTTTGTCAAGGTGATTTATGCTGTTGCGAATGAAAGGTCACGGTTGGAGATTCCTGAAGGTCCACTCAGCAAGCTTATCGCAGGTTTTTCTTTCGTAGTTTTTTTTTGTGTGTGTGTTTGGTTATTCATACTATGTATTATGTTTGGAGTTTGATGGAGTTAAAAAGCTTTTCTATGTCCTCCGTATGCAAGATTGTTGGGCGGAACCAGAGGAACGGCCAAGCTGTGAGGAGATACTTTCACGCTTACTTGACTGCGAGTACACGCTGTGTTAGCCAGAGGATCCATTTCATGTGTACAGAGAAATGGCAGCAGGTATTACAAAAACAAGCCCTCGGCTGCCTTTTTATTGTTATTGTTATCGGAACCATCAAAATCAAGTTTTACAATGTGGAAGAGTTAGATTCTCGGTATTTGGTTATATATATATATAGGAGTTTGGAGATGTTTTTCAGCTCAAAAGAACTCCGGTCCTTTTGCCTCCATAACTCTCTCTTTGGTCTTTACCCGAGTCTTTGCATTTCTTTCGAAATCCCACGAGTGAAGGGGGGAAGAAGGCTTTTTTTGTTTGTCTGTTGAACAATTTTCATTTGCAGTTCTTTACGGTCATAAATGATAAAACGGAAATCTTGTTTGTCGCTTTGGAAATTACATGAAAGTAGTTCATTCAGGTTTGTGGATGTTGTCTGCATGACTGTAACAACATCCCTCACGCAAAATGGAACCAAATGTTCATTCACTTGTCCATTTGCATGCATGGTTCCTCGACTACCCCATGACTCTTCCCCTTTATAAATCATACCTAACTAATAGAAAACAAGCGAAGCACACTCGACATAAATGGAAGCGAGGGTCGTATCTCAAGCCGCATGCGGTAACGACAAGGTCGTCAAGATCGTTGTTTCGAGTCGGAAAGCATTGGCCAAATACAAACCCGAGAGAGACGAGACGACAGTCGTGGTGGCCGATGACGTCTGCTCCGACAAGGACATGGACGAGATCAAGACTTACTGCGACCAGTTGGGTTATGAATACGAAGGTCGCCTTAACGAAGAGTATGAACAGGGCAACGTAGGCCCCGGTTTGGTCTGAACTCTGATTAGCTTCGATATGAAATCTTGATTTTCAACTTAACCAAAGTCGGAATGGCTTTCTTTTTATATTTATTCATTTGGGTTTGTGTTAGAACTAGCTCGTTTTATAGCATGTTGTTCTAGTTCCTGCGAATCATGCTTACCGCCAACGTCATTTTCTTAATTTGAAATCTCATGAATATCAACTTGACCGATTCCAAAGCCAAAAAGATTTAATTTTTCACCAAATGATTAGTCACATTACTTTTTTTATTGTAACAAATGAGAATATATTGCAGAATGCTTACAAAGTGAAGAACCAGATACCACTAACCTGTACAGTAAATGGAACTCCCATTAGCCAAAACAGGTGTTAATATTAGCAAACTCTCGTTATGTTCCAACATGAAACTTAATTACCTGCTCTCATACTGCCTTGAGAGTAAACACAGAAATAGACGAAAATGATGATGATGATGATGATGATGATGTTTACCTGTTTGGCTGCTGCTTTCATGTGACTGGAATGGTCGGATGTGCCCTCCGAAACCCGAATATCTCTACAGACTTAGGTCTTTCTGCCATCAAAGGTGATCGCCTCTTCTATAGCTTGAAAAAACGTTGCGATTTTGTACGTGAAAAATCCCACCAACATCGGTATCAATTCCAAGTGCATGAATCCGTAGTCAGGAACAAGTATTCTTCATCCACACACACACACACACAAAAACAAAGCATTTTCAACACTTCAGCCAGAGAATATATATGTCAACCGATAAAGTAATGGCAAGAAACGCTTACCCGTTCCATCGATTGTATATCATCACCAACACAACAGGGACAAGTAACCTCGGTTGCCCTGCTGCTCCTCTGTAATAACAATTTTGGTCGAAACAGTGAGTCATCTCTCTAGCTGCATAGACAAAACCGGATAAGATATGGAACAGAACACATACTTGACAAGTCCCTTAGCTCCATCTGCCATGGAATCCACTGTGTTACCAAGCATCCTCATATATACCAACGACCCAATCAGGCCAGCTCCAAAACTGCAGGCAAGGGAACAACCAAAGAAATTCATACACAACAAAAGCAATCATCTGAAGAAAAAAAACAATCGTATTTCTTCTTCTTTTTTCTTTTTTACAGTATGACAGAGTTTGAGACTTTGCATGAGAACCAACCAACCGACCGACCTTGCAGCTATTTCTGGCGTGTATGAAATATAAGCCGATACTAAGCCTACGCCACCTATACCAAGTGTAAGTAGCTGCAGCCTCTTTTTCAACTGCAGAAAGACATTTCAAAGGTAAGAATGAATTGCCTAACAAGTCTTTGGAATGCAGATAAAGACTGCTCTTTTGTAAGACCCCCATTTATAAAAACAAATATACGATAATAGCCCAAAATATGTTATTCGTTTATTTGGAAGAATAATGGTAAACATTTTTTAGGCTCTATACAATTAGGCTTATCAATACGTTACTAGAACAATAGAATTGCCACAGAAACCTACTTTTGAAATGAATCTATCAAGCCCATATTCCAAGTTCAAAAACACGAAAAAGAAAAAAGTGCATAACCCTGGAATGTCATAACAATACGCAGTATGCTAAAATTACAAATATCCGTATATAAATATACAGACGGTTTACATATAAGAGTTAAAAATCAAGTAACACAGAAGATATTTCATGTGGTGAATTCAGAAGTAAGACACCTTAAAGTATTGCTCTCTTGACTGAGCAGCCAAGACTTCTGGATCACCACGCGGCTGCCTCAGTTCCCTAAACATCACCTCCTGTAGTCCAAAAATCAATTCAGAAAACAAGAAATCAAGAGCTTAATTACCAAATTTTCCTGCTCACTGGGAGAGACTAAATGAAACTAGTGAAATCCAATAAGGAACAATTCGCAAACTATTGCAGCAATAGAGAGATAATTTACACTGCCGCCTGTAGCAGCCTTGGTGGCTTTATCCCATTTCTCTTGTTCACGGCGTGTCGGCACCATTTTCCATCTGCGAGACATGCTGCCAGTGTTCTGATGACAAATTCTTGTCAGTCGCCATAAGAGAGAACTCGAGATTAATCAACTAGGACATTGGGTTGGCAGGTAGTTTCTTACTGAGACAGTAGAGGTGTCAAGATTTTCTGAGACATGTTTGGAAGGCGCTACAAGCTCTTTGCTCAAATCAACATCCATACTGTTAAACACAAAAGCAAAGAAAGACCCATTTGCATATTATAGTAATGGAGTCAAGAACTCAGTCGCAAAGAAGATTATTTGACCAGCTTTTTAGGAGCAAGAAAGAGCAAAACCTGTCAAGGCTCATAACTCTACTCAAGCTCAGAAACCCAGACGATTCTTCCTGTCCACACGCAGAACATAATTAGTGTCTCTGAGACACGGACCAGAGGGTTTTAGAACAACCAAACATTCGAATTCCAGTATCATCTACGATCTCGAAAGTGTGAATCAGAATGATAACTTCCAAATAAACTATGCCAAAAACCAGCCTTTGCGCCATTTTTCATCTCATTTGCAAGGAAATAAAGAGACCCAGACGAGAGAAATGTCAGAGGAAGACAAAGAAAATGACCTTAACCGGGTATGGGTCGAGAGAAGAATCGTCAGGGTCCTCGATCAATCTCTTCATACGATCCATGAAATCTTTGTTCCAGATGAAATCCTTGGAAGTTATGGGGTCCTCTCCTTCTCCTCCCCAGTACTTCCTGAGCTTCGTGGTGGTCGGAGGACCACCATACTCTCCGGGAGCGACGCCGGTGGACCATTTCATCGGCTTCTTATTCGGTAGAACGATTTTGGTGGGTCTAGGGTTTTGCAGAGACGGATTCGATGGAGTGGGTGATGGGTCCTGAGAGATCGGTGGCGTGGTTGACGTGGCCGATATGTAGCTGAGAACCGCCATGGATGAGTATCTTGTGGAGGTGATGACGAAGAAAGTAAAGCTGTGGACTTCAACTGAAAATCACAGAACGAATTTATTATTATTATTAATTTTGACAAAATTATTGGGAAACCTAAAAAAATGGAAAAAGGAAATATCTGAGTGATGGTTGACGAGTGTATCCGTCCCACGTCGTTCTCCTCATAAGTTTGAAGCAATTACGGTAAACCCCCAAATGTTTCACTATTTTCTATATTTGACCCCTTATATTTTCCTAATGTCATAAAAAATCCCCAAAAAAATCTATTTGGAATCATATAGAAAGCCATTCATATATAGCAGGTTAAAGGCTCTATGAAGATACATCAAGATTAGTATATCATATGATTATTATATAATGACCCATTTTGACTTTTAATGTGATATTATTAGACATTTAATAAAACTGTATAAGCTATTTAGTGGGATTAAATTTACATTTGTGTAAAAAAAAGTAGCCGAGAAAAAACATGATAAATCTTAATTACAACCTAAATAGTATAATAACCTTTTTTTTTAATCAAAGTAATATTCCCATTCCATGATACATTGATCAAGCTCAAATGGAAATAAAAGTCTCAGAATTGACAAATTTCACATAAATACCAAGTTTCCATTTTTTTTTACAAAAATAAACACATTTCTCATTTTGAAATTAACAAATCTTGAAAAGAGGAGGGAAGAATATGAAAAATCCGTAGAAAAAGAAAATAGGAAATAAAGAATCCAACAGGCCCTATAAAAGAACCCGTACCCTCTCCGACCATCTTTGTATTTTCCACAGGAAAAAAAAAACAAACCAAGAACACAGGAAAAACTGCAGATTCTGTCGGAAAATCAGATTTGATCGACAATGGAGTTTGTGAGAGGCGACCACGTGGAAGTCTGCAGCCGGGAAGAAGGGTTCCTCGGCTCATACTTCGCCGCCACCGTCGTGGAAAGGCTCGCCGGCGGAAAATTCTACAAGGTGAAGTACAAGAACCTGGTGACGGAAGAGGACGAGTTTCAGCCGTTGATGGAGACGATCTCCGCCGCCGAGATCCGGCCGTCGCCGCCGAGATACATCCCCGTCGTGTTCCGCCGCCGTGACGCCGTCGACGCCTTCGACAACGATGGTTGGTGGGTCGGAGAGGTCACCGGTCGGAAAGATAACTTGTTCTCTGTCTATTTCCGTACGACGGGCGACGAGATCGAGTACCCGTTTAACCGCCTCAGGGCACACGTTGACTGGGTCAACGGTCAATGGGTTTCTCCTCCTTCTAGTAGTAGAGGTTTGTAGGAAAAAAAAATCTTCTTTTTTTTTGTGGATGCAAGTTTTTTCTTTGTTTGAGACGTTACGTGAATTCCAAGAAACTATAAAATCACTCATATAGAGCTGTTTTCTAATAGATTAATTTCGACGGTCCATACTCCGTAATCGTGGACGATAAATTAAACATCATGCCATTTAGATTACGTCTTTATGTTTCTCTTTGGGTATCTTCCGATTCTAAGCATCCCTATTTCTATTATTGAAACGTAAGAAATCCATAAGGTTTTTAGCATATGGTTAAAGTTTAGAACATTAACCTTTACTTTAAAAAAAAATATATATGTGTAAATAATTCGGATCCATAGGTCCAATGTGCAATCATATAAAGAATAATAGGCCCAGACGAGGCCCAAATATATATCAAACTAATTTTTCGGACCCAACTTAGCACATTTGCGTCACAAGATTATATAAATATGTATTTAAATTAGTCGGTCCAAACGTAACCAAAATTTACAAGTAGAATAACATTTATTCTCTTTTTGATAAATTTTCCTCGCATCATCAATTATTGAGTTTGATCGTAGTTTTTTTAAAATCAATAACTTCAAAGTTTTAGTAATGTTTTCCTATGGATTGGATTATATGAATGTTTACGAAATAACAATTTTAATAACTGTTTGAACATAATGCAAATACCTACAGAAGATGATTTCAAATCCATATATTCAAAATGTGTAGATTTTTTTTGTATGGAAATACGGTTTAAATTATCTTTATTAATAAAATTTTATCATTAACTTTCTAATCTTCAAATCATATACATTAACGTTTCTATATTCAATTTATAAGACGTGTATAAATACATTACCTCATTTGATTCAAAGCAGTAGGGCTGGACATTTAAGCCCGTTACTCGTGGATACACGGATATCCGGTCTCGTCGATATCCAAAAAACGGATACTCGACATCTAACGAAGACAAAAACGAATATTAAAAAGTGGAATACCCGTCATACGGGTTCGGATTTCATATATTGAAAATAATGGGCATCCGCGGATACCCGTGTATATATTAAATTATAAAATTATTTTTATATTCTTAAAATAATTACCAAAATACTTAGATTATTTCTACTTTCTTTCAGGATTATATATTGGATTTTCAAGTTTTCGTGAATTCAACTTCAAATCATTATGTATTTTGGAAAAAAAAAATTCTAGGATTCTATGCATATTGTTATATTTTAAGAATTTTAATGTGTTTTTGGACTAAGTATATTTCTGTTGACTATTTGGTTTAATTTTATATTGGTTAATGTTTTATATATGGATATGAGTACTCATGGATACCCGTCTTTTAGTTATGGGTATTCGTTGGGCGAATATCCGGATGTTGTGAGATAGATACAGAGACAGTATTCCTCTAAAACCTGCGAAGACGAAAACGAAAACGACGACGAATAACTCCAAAAACGCGGGTATCCGACCCATGGCTAGCCCTACGATCACTAATCTATTTTTGTGGTACGAGATCATCGGATAAACCGAACCGGAAAATATGAAAACTGTGAACCGGTTCGGTTTGGGCATTGAATGAAACGATAATGGTCGGCCAAAAGGGACAAGATCCGCCAGTGTCGCCCATAGTGCAAATGACCCATGCTTTGCTCCGAAGCTGCATGATGACATCCCCAAAGTCAACTCTGCTCCCCCATCACTCCACCAAAAGTCAACGCCATCATCTATAATATTTTCTTAAGGTTGTAATATATTAATTTAAATAATTTTGATGCAAAGCTAATATCAGTTCACAACATCTGCAATTAGCTTACAATAATTTAATTAGGAAACAAAGGATCGAAAGTGTATCAAATTCGAGTTAGTAGTAGAAATAGATGATTTATATTTTTAAAAATGTATTATCAACGAATGATTCAGACTAAAAAAAAAGATATACTGTATCTTAAGATATAATTTTTTATATATAAAGAAAAAATATAAAGTTTATTTTAAAAAATATCTCGAAACTGGAGTTAATTACCATTATGGATGCCCACACTAAGCCACCTCTCTTCCCAACTCATAGTCTGACAGTTTAAAGAAAAAGTCGGTGCAAAATAATAACTTAATAATAGCGAAATTCCCAATTATTTAATTATAATTTTAAAAGAAAGAAATAATTTTCTAGTCAAATAAATTTGAATGAAAGGGACCCTATATATATATATATAGATATTCTCACATTTCACATTTCATAAGTTCATACATTCATTCATATTCTCGGATTAGCCTCAAATTGATCAAAGTTATTATCAAATCATCAGAGAAAGAAAAAATCAAGATGACGGTAAGAAACCTAATCTCTTTAACACTTCATTTAAAAAAACAATGTTCTATGATTATGTGAATTTGATGTTTGATCTATGAATATTAACATATATTTTTTTTTTCTAATTTCAGATTATTGAGATGAGAGTGCATATGGACTGTGCCGGATGCGAGAGCAGGGTTAGACATGCCCTTAAGAAACTCCGAGGTATACACACATACATATATATATATATATATATATATATATATATATATATATATATGTGTGTGAGATGATGCAAAGAATTCAAACATTGTGTATGTATGATGCATATATACGTGTATATATATGAATATATAGGTGTAGACGATGTGGAGATAGACATGATGCAGCAGAAAGTGACGGTGACGGGGTACGCCGATCAGAAGAAGGTTCTAAAGACGGTCCGGAAAACGGGAAGAAGGGCGGAGCTGTGGCAGCTTCCGTACAACCCCGACCACAACTCCTTGGCCGGCGGCTACTACTACGACCCTCACGGCTGCAACGGCCCTGTTAACCACATCGCACCGGTCCCGACATCATCGTACAACTATCACAAGCACGGTTACGACAGCAGCGATCACGCCTATTATCGCCACCCTGTCCACGCCTCCATCTTCAGCCACCAAACCGGTTCTAAGTTTAGTGATGAAAACCCTCATGCTTGTGCTATCATGTGATCGAATTATCGTTTCCTTTTTTTTTTTTTACTGCTATGCGCTAATGTTTTACGATGCTTTCGTTTCTATATATAGTAAATGAGTTAATGGGTATAAATTGTATTATATATATATATATTTAATTAATAATGTTTTTGTATATCTTTCTGGCATGTTTTGTTTAGTCATTTCATATTTGGAACGACTCGCTTACAGAAAATGCAGCCAATATAGTCATTAATTATGGATTTTTGAGTGGTTTTTCTCCGGGGAGAGTGATGAATCATCATTAATTATAAATTGTGATGTATTTTTTAGATAAATTAATAAAAAATTATAGCTTTTCAGAATTTATTATAAATATTTAGATTTTATTATTGCCGGTTGATAATTTAGATATTTATTTTTTAAGATTTTTTTTTGCATATTTTTTAACTGAAAATCTATTTAGATATGTGTGAAATTGAGGTTTTAGATGAATCTTTTAAGAAGTTAGAAAATCTTTTAGGATTTTTTCCCCAAATTTTGGATTTAATTCGGATACGTTACTCCAAATTTGGACGAGCTTATCTATAAAAATACGCGCCAAAACAATAAAGGAAAAAACAAAAAAGGAAAGCTCGTATTTTGTATAGGAAAAGGAAAATATCTCAAAAATAATATCTAAATTAAGATGCAATTTGATTCAAAGATCACTTAAGGAATTTGCATATAACAAGATCCAAGAATAGTTCTTGACAGCCAAATCCTACAAGGGGATGAATAATGTGCAACCAAATCTCTCTCTATATATACACAGCCGCGGCCATGATGCCATCAACCTCCAAAAAAATAAAATCCAATCTTCTTCCCAGTTTCCTTTTTTCCCCCACCTGTCAGTGAAACCATCGATCGACATTAATGGCGATAACGAGAAAAACAATGTTAGGTTTCTTGCTGGTCACGGCAATGCTATTAGGAGGCGCCATTGGAGCGGTCCACAAGGTCGGCGACTCGAAAGGATGGACCACCATTGGAGGAGTCGACTACGCCAAATGGGCATCGTCCAAGACGTTCCAAGCCGGCGACGCTCTCGATTTCCAGTACAACAAGGACTACCATGACGTGACAGAGGTCACTCTCCAAGATTTCCAGTCCTGCAATGTCTCGTCTCCGGCTATGGCGGTGTACAAAACGGGATCGGACATGGTGAACTTGACGAGAGAAGGGCACTACTACTTCATATGTGGGGTGCCTGGCCATTGCCAGGTTGGTCAGAAGCTCGAAATCCTCGTCCAGCCTTCTGGTTCATTGCCTCCGGTCTCGGTCCCGACCATGCAGCCGGTTCCCTCCCCGACCAACGCCTCTACCCCGCCTGCCATTGAATCTCCACCCAACGCTGCTGCTTCTGGTTCCAGTTTTTGGATCGGCTCTACCCTTCTCGCTTTCTCTGTGGCTGCTGGATTCGCCCCTTTGATTTAGTTTTTTTTTGTCTTTTTATGGGTTTGGATCTGAATTTGTTGTCTGGTATGACCTCTCTGTCTTTTTCGGTTCTTGTTCAGTTGCTTTCTTTTGGTTGGATTCTTGAGGTTTCTCTGTTACTTGTGTCAGATTAATACTCAAATTTCGGTCGTTAATTTGCTTACCACAACTACACCAGATATATATATCGCTTTATTGTCTATAATTTAATTATAAAGATATTCACTTACAACCACCCCAACGGTTGCAATAATTTCAACCGTCCAACAGCAAATCTCTGTGGTAAGTTTCAGACAATCCCTTTATTACAAATACGAGAGAGAGAGAGAGATTAGTGATGATGAAGAGCAGAGGGCCAAGCATTGGCTTCGACCCAGTTGAAAGCGATGGGGCTCAGGAAAGAGTCGGGGAATCCAAAGGAGGTGACGAGAGAGAGAGCGTGAGGCCTCATCTCTCCACACAGCTTCGACACTTCTCTCCTCACTGCTCCGATGCCATCCGTTGACAGATACTCATATCTCAGAAACGATGCATCTTCCTCTATGCAGATGAGGCCATACATCGCTCTCACCATTCCCAAAACGTCCTGTTATCATATGATACGTAAACTTATAATCTTTCACTTTCGTGGAACAGTAATCATATGGTAGAATTTGTGCTACTTCCTGCCTGTGATCCTAAACTAGAAAAATGCCCTATGGGTGTGGTTGGATCTGTAAAAGTTCAAGACTTGATGAAAGAAAGTGATCACACTCGGTACTTACTTTTACTGAACCAGCAGGAAGCTTGGCCTCAGCCTCCAAAATGGTTTGGAGTATGGCTTTTTCCGCAAAAGCCCGACCAAGGTCTTCAGCCAGCTGATGATTCTGTTAAACACGGAAAAGAACGGGACAAAGAAAACAATATAAGAGTATCTCTTTTATTAGATCTTCTAAGAAAACAGTAAAGTTTACGCTGCGAGAGAAGAAACTCTGACCTGCATGAAGGAGTACTCTCTACTTTCTCCCTTCCCTTGATGCTGCGAGACTTCAGCGGAAAATCGTTCTAGCAGATCTCGCTCTCTTAAACAGAAAACATTTGTCTAGTACGGACAAAAGACACAATATGTTTAACAAAACTTTTTGTTCATCTGAACGGAAAGTACATCTATGACAAGGTGTATGACCTGGAACTGGCTGCATCTGAGGGTAGAAGATGTGAGTTGAGATGGCAGGACCGGACGAGGACTATTCATGTGCTCCAACCCTAATCCTTTGAAAGGTTTGTTCCTTTTCTTACAAGACACGTATTCGCTGAAAAGTGCCTTGCTCACCTAAGTATCACGAAAGAACTAATGAATCACTTTTACACCATCAATTATACCGAGAGTTTTGCACCCTATCTTACCTGCTGCATCAACACATTATTGTCACCCTCAAACGTAGTCTGCACATCGAATTCACCTTTCAGAATACCCACAAGGTTTTCTGTTTTCAGACCTTGCCCTCCACAAGCTTCACGGCATTCCATTGCCGGTTGATAATTTAGATATTTATTTTTTAAGATTTTTTTTTGCATATTTTTTAACTGAAAATCTATTTAGATATGTGTGAAATTGAGGTTTTAGATGAATCTTTTAAGAAGTTAGAAAATCTTTTAGGATTTTTTCCCCAAATTTTGGATTTAATTCGGATACGTTACTCCAAATTTGGACGAGCTTATCTATAAAAATACGCGCCAAAACAATAAAGGAAAAAACAAAAAAGGAAAGCTCGTATTTTGTATAGGAAAAGGAAAATATCTCAAAAATAATATCTAAATTAAGATGAATCAAGAAACAACCCATATAATATGCCCGTTCCTACCTGAAGTGTTCGCATATTGTGCCAGGTGAGAGTGGCTTTGAACCCACTCGAAACAACATGGATGATTTTGTTGGTCTCAGGTGTCCTCTTCACATAAATCATCTTCAAGTAATTTGCAGCGAAGCTCATTGCATATCTAGATACAGTAAGAGAGAGTAAGGTATAAAATTAGTTTCTTGTTGTCTACATGTATCGAGAATTTGGCCACAGATGTTTTGTTTGAGCCTCTCTTCCCCTTTTAGACATAGAAACAGGGGAACCGAACAACAATACTAGAGCTATTATCGGGACCGTCACAGTTCTCAAAGCAAAAACATAACGATGGTTAAGAACCTTACGTCTTAGCCAGAAGAGGCAGTAGTCGCCTTTGATGGCTTGGGTAATCAAGCAGGAGAACTTCAGGCTCATTTGCTGCAATGGAGAAGGCTCTCCTAGATAACGAGTACCTTATTGCAATAGCTAAAGCCATCTGCCATTACAAGTAAGAAGCTTGATAAACACCACTTGATCCTCAAATATCCAGGTTCATATCTCATGAACATCAATTTATTTAAGGAGATGAAGATTAGATCACTGAAATTCATTACCTTAGCTGAATAAACTGCACTTGCTGAAATTGTGACACGGCCTGAGGTCAAAGGAGCCATGAATGCTGCAAACCGCTGAAATGAGAATGGGAAATATTGTCTCAGTGGCTCGAGGGAAAAAAAAAGGACGAAAATTACACCCAAGTTTTGTCAGACCAATGGTCCAGAGTGAGAATGTGCAACAACTTTACCTGATCAGGGTCCTTTATTGCGCTAACATACTGTCCATCCGGTGAGACATCGGCAACTGAGTTCAATAAATTCTCTCTTGGAACTTTGAGATTGTCAAACCTAGAACCACAGTAGAATACTGCATGAAGCAAACCTTTTAGGTTAAGGAAAACACTATATCATGGAGATGTGGAAATCACCATATGCGGCCATTGTCTACTCCATTTAGACCAATTTTGTGTCCACAATCAGCTATGCGTATGTTTGGACATACATTGCCATCTTGGTCCCTGATTTGGGCGATAAAAGCATGGACACCCTGATTGGTTCCGTTTATATCAAGCTGTGAAAACACAATTGTATGTGTTGCATGCTAAAACAACAACAACAACAAAGTCAGTATATGATAAATATAAGTACTATGACATTGACAGGATAGCATTCCAAAAAAAAAAATCAGTAAGTAAATTATAACAGATAGAAGGATATCGAGAGACATTCAGGATAATTGGGATGTTAAAACGAAAGAGCTCTTACATTAGCTGCCCCACCGATCCAATACTTCTGAGCAGATTCACAAGGAGTGTTTATGATAAACTCTCCAGTTCTTGGGTCATAAGTAGTCACTGTTTCAATTCCTCGCACCTAAAACCGTTTAATCAAAAGAAAGAACATTAACTCAATGCGGATACAAAAGATCACCAGCACAAGTAGTTAGCCTTTGGGGGAAAAAGAGAATTGATAACCCTACATTACTTCCATGACCCAACTCAGTCATTGCAAAGCAACCCTTCACAACATAATCTTCAGTGTCCTTCAGCCACTTTTCGTGGTGGCGTCTTGTGCCAAAAAACTGAATAGCACCAGCCCTGAATATTAAAAACAGTAAAACTTATGAGAATGAAAAATAAAGCTGTACCTTAACGGCATACCAGAACGCGAGATGTACTAAAACTAAAGGGTATTCAGATCCGCAAAACCATATGCCAACACTCCTTTATCTTATATTTCATATCACAAGAAGAACATGTTGAAACTAAAACAATAATAAAGTGAATCGGGTACGTAAATTTGCGATGCCAGACTAGTCTTCCTATACGGCTGTCTCACAAAAAGTTAGCACCAACAATGTGCAGGTCAACTCTGTTGTAGACAATCGGTTCTAATGTGCAAGTAAAGTCCCCCAAGCCACATGTTCATTCGATAATATTCGAGAAAACGACCTCTTAAGGAGCAGAGCACCCTTTCATGATAATTCCATAGTTCCTCAATCAAATTCCCCATTAGAATCATAGGCAAAAACAACAGAAAACGATGAAATCATAGTCCTTTGCAGAACACATACAAACAGATGTCCATATTAACTCGCAAGCGAAACACTTTCAGGAAACTGATCATAGCCCACGTCAGGAAACAACCATATGTATACACACGCGCGCGTTGGCACATGTGAATGAATATGCACATGAATTGGAAACATACCACAAGAAGAAATGAACGCCGATTTTAATGGCGAGAGAGTGATCGAAAATCCCGCAAATTTCAAGGAGAGAGAACTTCTTGAGCTCGGCTTCGGCACCCGTCTTTGTCAACCAGCCCTGGAAAACCCCTTTCTCCAACAAGTACCAAATCCGTCGCATCGTTATCTCCCTCTGCTGCTCCATCGTCTGGTTGTAATCCGGAGACACGAAGATCTTCCCGCCTCTCTCCCTCCGATTGAACAAATTGCTCTGAATCATTAGCCCATACAGCCAATCCCTGTCCTCGACGTTGTGTCCATCAAGCAATTTCCTCATCTCCTTGATGTCGAAGCCATAACTCTCGTTGAGCTGGGGAGGAGAGTACTGCAAACATACCTCCGGAGAAAGAGATGAATTTGACGCCGGAGAAGGCGACCGGAGTATGTGATTGGTGAGAATTTGAGTTCGTCGAAGAGCGCGGCTTTGATCCGACATTTTCTGGTCTGAGGATTAGGGATTCAGACGAGAGATTTACCCAAAATTTTGCAGACAGAGATGGGAGAGGAAGGGGGATTCAATTAATTTAACAGACACGGAAGAAGGGGAAGAAGAAGGTTTGACACGTATCCCTCCTATTAAAAAATATAAGTTCATTTAAAAGAAGTCAATATATCATTAATGCATACATTGATATACGCACATATGTTCATAGTCATTTTGCATTTATTAAGTAGATTATTTGTTTTGTCAAAAGATGGACAACGTTTTCTTCGATAGATATTTAATATATTAAATTATATTAATTACTCCCTCTATTTCAAAATATTTATAGTTTTAGGTTATTTTTCATTTTTGTATATATATATATATATCATTCATATAATATAACCAGATGTATGTATTCGTGATATTCTATATTTTTAAAATGTAAAATATAATGTCTACATGTTTTTTTCCTATATAAAAACATGCTCTTCACCAAGGTATTTTGGGTTTTGAAATTCAATACAACAGAACATCTCTATGGATGATCTCCTTTATACTCATAATTCTAAAGAAGAAAATGGTTATGGGTTGTCTTACTGAGAAATCCAAAACCGGTGATTGGGTCTTTACCGCTCTCATTCTCGGTTCATCTCCTAGACATCTCTACTATAATACATATATATATATATATATATATAGTATTGTTTATGTTTAATTATAATCTTCAACTTAGGATCAACACTCATCTCCATATACATATTGTATGGTCATATATATTATATAGTTTATGCTAATTTAAAAGGACGCGGCATCCCGTTGATTCATATTCGAATATTATTTGTGGAGAGAGTTTCATGGTATTTTCCAAAGTTTTCTTATTTTTCATTTGTCGCAGTTTTTGTATGCTTAAAAACGCGTCTTCAAAGCTAATTTATTTTTCTGGACCCGCAGATTGGAATAATTTGAATGTTTTTTAGGTTTCGGGCTCCAACCGCGCGAGAAACGAGTCTCTAGGGAAAGCAATCACAATATTTGAGAGCCTAGAGTTGTGAGATAATCTATATACTCTACGGTATCTTAAACTTATGAATGTTGATTTGATTGAAATTTGAGCCCTATTGTGCAATTTGCAATATTGCTTTTGATATTTCTTTTCTTTTTATCTTATTCTGGTCATATTCTCTCATTCATGCACCATTATATATATGTATATATGTACGTAAATGTGTATGTACATGCATGTATATAATATATATATATATATGTATATATTTAATTATGTATATATATATATATGTGTATGTATGTATATATAGATATATGTATGTATATATATATATGTACGTGTGTTTATATGTATATATATATATTTTTAACAAAAAAAATGTATGTATATATATATTAATGTGTATACATGCGTAGATATATGTACATATGTATATATATGTATATATTTAAGTGTATGTATGTATATATCTACGTATGTGTGCACATATATATACACATATATGTATATAAATATATATATGTATATATGTATATAAATATATATGTGTGTATATATAAGTGTATATCCCATTACTTTTTTACAATTTTTATGTATTATTATTATTAGGGATAAACCAAAAAAATGATAAACTTTGCACATTACTAAAATTAATTAAATATCATATTTAAAATTCATTATTTAAAACTTCTAACCAGTGGCGCACCTAGAGAAAGTGATGAAAGGAGCAAGAATTTTATATATATGATTTTACCTAAACAATTTTTATTTTAATGGGGACATTTAACGTTTTTTTCTACAATCTTATCAATTTTACAAGTAAAATTGATATTTTTTTTAATTAATTACGGGCATGTGCCTCCACACCATATAAAATGGGTCCGCCACTACTTCTAACTATACAAATCGACTAATAAAAATCAGTAATGGAGAACAACGAAAGGAAGTTATAAAAAGATATTAAAACAAAACACGCTCTGAATTGCAACTACACAAGTGTTATTTTCAACCTTTAGAGCTAAATAATTAATTTTTTTTAATACATATCAACGTCCTTAGATTTGAATTAACAATTGAAATTTATGGGTGTTTTCATTAGTTTTTTTAATTTGAATTACTTAGAACTATAAAATTGATCATATAAGAACGTAAACACAATAATACAAAAACAATCAAAGATTATCCAATACCAAAAATATATAATTACATAACTATATAGAATAAGTACACCAAAAATTAGATATAATCACACAACTTAAATCTATTGATTTAAATATTTGACATAATCAAACAAAACACAATAGATTGTAGGTTAGAATAAAGATTATGCTTAAAAAATTAATTCATTTGATAATTATAAATTATAAATATGTAAAAAATCTAAAATTTGATAAGAAAGGTGGAATATCATAGTAGAAAAATAAGTCACTCTATATAATATGACTTATATAATATGACTCTATATAATATAACAAATAACTTATGAATTTTAAATGAGTCCAATATTAAAATTGTTAATAGTTGATGGTTTACGGGATAATTGTATATATGTCACGTATGAAGAATTAAGTCAACTCTTTCATCATAAGTTCAAAACATGTTTTATAGGATCATATAAAATAAATTGAGATGATAAAAACAATAGAAAATAATTTTAATCAGATATACGTAAAACTAAATGAAAATACCTAACTACATCAGGTTAAAACTCATATATATAAATTAAAAGTGGATTGATTTTATACGGATTCGATGAACAACAAACATAAAATGAGTTTGAACATACTTCAATTGGAATAAAAAAATATCTTCTTATTTATTATTTAATAAACTCGCATCATTTATAGATTAATCAAACTAACTAATATGTCAAATTTGTTACTAAAAAAAACTACCTTGCCTATTATTTGTTCCAAATGGATAAGGTTTATATATATTCATTTGTTTATTTTTACATGTCGAGCAAAATATTGATACGTGTAATAAGCACAAGTTGATACAAATATTTTACATTAGGAACACGTGAATAAAATAAAGATTATAACAGAGAAATATATTTATCAAGTGAATACAAAATACTAAACTCAAAAGGTTAATGAAAGTATAAAATTTAATCATTTTATGTTCGGTCACAAATTTAGAAAAATATGAAAATTTGATTGGGAGAAATGGTACAAATAATCGGTTAATGATATCATTTTAAATCTTTTCATATTCACATTACCTTTAATACGTATTTGTTTTACTAGATTTAAAAGCAATCGGTCTAATCATAAATTATATATAGTTATTTTAAAATATTCTGTCATAAAAAAAATTATAAATATAATTCATCTTCCCAAATAAAATTATTTTCAAAATTGTTATTTTTTGTTAATATTCAAAATATAATTTTTTTCTGCTATTTATTATTTGAAAATTGATAATCTTTTATTTTTTCCACAAAAGAATATAAATTTATAAAAAAAAATTAGAAAATTTATAGAAAAAATATATTTACTTAAAAATATCATATAAATATATAAATTTTTCATAAATATTATTAGAATTTAATAAATAATTTTTCTATTAATGTTTCAAGTAAACTTATGAATCTTAAATGAATCCAACGCAAAAACGGTTAAGATTTTGATGGATAATTTGAAATGTCAATTTGGTGAAATAAGAGTTATCTATATGTCATTGGGTTTTTGCTGTGAAAGTATTTAACAAACTTATCGGATCGGATCTTGACAATGATATATGTATCACGTATGAAGAACTAC